GATTCTGAGTTGTATCAATTGAGATGTCGGAATCCCAGATGGAGTGACGATTGAAGTGGCGGAGGAGTGGGTTCAGTCGTTGGCGGAGTTGTTAATCCCCCCTTATTCTGTATTTCAATTACGTTTCCGCATTCAGTTACGCTACGATCGAAAATTAGTATTCCAACAAAAAACGGAATAGTAAGAAAAAGCAGAAGCAATTCCATTTTATTCCAATGCTTTCCGATTGTGTGTATTCTGCATTACGATCGTAGCTACGTTTTTGTAAGCTGTGGCGGAGACTTGTATCGAAACGCAGAATACCAAAGTTGCCAAACGCAGAAAATTTCGATTCGAATTGAAATGCAGAATAGGGGTGAATACCTTAATCTTTAATTTATTGGCGATTCTTTAATGGTTGAGTGTGTTGGAGTTTAATCTAAAACATGCTCAACTTATCACAATAAGTCCTTGTGGCCTTGTGGAAATAAGTCTGACTAATTATATAGAAATCTGTTTTCGTACCACCAATTAAGTCCCTAGGTGCTATTGCCGAAACAACAGAGCTATCTCAGTAGCATGGTTGGGCGACTTTAAGAGGTCAAGGAATGCACTAGTATGAGTCTTTAGATACCGGTAGGGACAAGAGCATTCCTCATAGCATCAATAGGGTGTTTTCTCCTAATGTTGGGTCCGCCCCTTCTATCGGTTCTAACCTGCGATTTATAAAGGGGCAGAAGTCTAGAACATGTTACCTCGTACAACGCGTTTTGTATACTTCCAACTTCATATTCAGACCTGTAGGTTGACCCCAATATGTCTAACATAATCCTCGGTTTGATTTCTCAAAGGTAATCATGGTGATATTTTGAAAATTTCATCTTCGTTTCAAAATTGACTTTTGGCCCCCAATAAAGACATTCATGGCCAACTTAGTCTTATGGATTTAATTTTTAATAACAAATTGAACACAAGAGAGTAGTGTGAGTTAATTATTGAACTTTTTAAATAACATGGGGTTACAATCGTTGAAATTTGTGATAAATTTATGAATGAATAATGGAAACAATAAGAAAACGGAATGAATAAATTAAGACAAAAGTTCAAAATACATACAATTGGATTGGAAGTTATGTTGTTTTTGTTTTTTCTTTATTTTATTACAGAAAAATACACATTAATTACATGTTCATTTACACTATTTTATCTGTTATAAGTTAAATTTACTTTTGCACTTTTTTTGTAAAGGTGTTTTTAATAAAATGTTTAAATATGCATTTGAAAAAATTAAGGAGAACAATTAAAAAAATATATATTTTTTGAACATTTATTTTGTTTGTTTAATGAAATTATACTGTGATGTACGGCGGACATTGGACCATAATAGAATCTATCCGCCATTAAAGGTCATCTTCAGAAAATTACTTTAATTTACATAACTGGTTTAATAATAACATTGTATTGACTAAAATTAAAAACAAAAACTCCTATTGCAACTTTTATGAAGATCGGTCCATAAGGGTCAATTATCCCCGATATAAAGTCAACTTCCGAAAATTACTTTAATGTTATTAAATAAACATATTAATTTGCGACAAAAATTATTTATTTTAAGAAATTAATGAATCCTTCCGAAACATATTTTAATTTTACGGCACATAATTTGATGGTGGGTATATAAGTTCATAGACAAGTCAATAGACTAGACATTAGTCTAATCAATAGACTTTTCCATGTATTAGCCATCTACCAGTTAATATACTATTCCACAGACTAGATCATAGACGTTTCCATACATCAGTCAATAGACTTATCTATAGACTAGTTAATAGAGTAGTATATGGACTAATCAATAGACGAATCATTAGAATAGTCAATACACTAGATATTAGATCATTCAATAGACTAGTCCATAGATAAGTCAATGGATTAGACAATAAACTAGTTCCATAGAACGACCCATAGACTAGTCGATTGTCAATAGACTATTTCATGTACTAGCCATAGAACAGTTAATAGGCTATTCCACAAACTAGACGATATTCTAGTAAATAGAATAGTTCATAGACTAGTCAATAGAATTGTCCATAGACTAGTCAATAGAATATTCCATAGACTATTTACTGAGATAGTCCATAGACTAGACAAAGGAATAGTCCATAGGCAAGTCAATAGAATAGTCAATAGACTAAATAATACAGTATTCAAGAGACTAGTCCAGAAATAAGTCAATAGATTAGACAATAAACTAGTCAATAGAAGATTCTAGTCAATATACTATTCTATAGAGTGGCCCATAGACTAGTCAATTGTATAGCCAACAGACTAGTTTATGGATTAGTCCACCCATATTCTCGTCAATAGCCTATTCCATAGACTAGCCAATACACTATTGCATAGACTAGTCCACAGACTTATTAAAGTACTATCTCACAAACTAGTTAAAATACTAATCCACTTTCTAGACCAGTTTATAGACTTGCTTGTCAACTAGCCAAACTTTTCCAAATATTAGCCATATAACTGATAATATACTATTCCACAGACTATTCAATAGACGTTTTCATAGACTAGTCAAAAGACTTGTCCCTATATTAGTCCTTAAACTAGTTAATATAGTAGTATATGGACTAGCCAATAGACTAATTCATAGAATCTTCAATACACTATTTAATAGACCATTCAATAGACTAGTCCATATATAAGTCAATAGATTAGACGATAAACTAGTCAATAGACGATTCCATGGTAGACTATTTCACAATAGAATAGTCTATAGACTAGTCAATAGAATAGTTCATAGAATAGTCCACAGTCAATAGAATAGTTCATAGAATAATCCACAGATTGGTCAATGTAATGTAAATGTAACAGACTGGTCTAGTAATAATATTAGTCTAGTCAATAGACTAGATAATAGACTAATCCATAGATAAGTAAATAGATTAGACAATAAACTAGTCAATATACTATTCCATAGAGTGGCCCATAGACTAGCCAATTGTTTAGCCAAGAGATTAGTTTATAGATTAGTCCAACCATAGTCTAGTCAATAGCATAGTCCACAGACTAGCCAATAGACTACTCCATAGACTGGTCTACAGACTTATTAAAGTACTATCCCACAGACTAGTCAAAATACTAATCAACTTTCTGGACCAGTTTAGAGACTTGTTTGTGAACTAGCCAATATTGTTGTTTAATACTTTTACCCCTAAATGAAGTATGTACTAACTTTGGCAAAGCTAGTACAATTTCGGAATTTGAATTTTCCATGGTTGTTTTACATTATTTTGGATTTTTTTTAAACACAACAACAAACGCAATCTTTAAAACGTTATAAATGTGCGAAGACATCTTTATTATAAAATCATGTGAAAGTCTAATCTGCCGACTCTTATAAAAATTAAAGTGTAATCTAAATACAAGTGTATGTTTAAAATTAAATTTCAATAAATTTTATCAGTGTCAAAATAACATGTGATTTCAAAACTTACTTGTTATTGCACCACAATGTGCATCTACAAGTTTATCACTTTTCTCCTCTTGGAGCAAAGCAGCTTAACATCTCCGTCGTAGGACGAATTTTACCCACGGTTCAAAACCCGAAAATATTCGTGCTAGTCTTCGAATATAAGGTACTGAAAGCTTTAGGTGGCTCCTCTTGGGGTATGGATAAGGAGACGATTGTAGCGACATATTAGGCAATTGGTCGCTCTCTTCCCAATTGTGCTGTACGAGTATGGACTAGGGTGATCGATTATTCGACATTTTCCAAAAACCGGTTTTCGAATAGTTCGAATAGTTGACATTTCAAAAAAACCGGTTGATATTTTTCAAATTCAGAAAAAACCGGTTAACCGGTTTTTCATAATAAATAAAAAAATATATGTTAATTTGAAGAAATTAATGTTTATGATTAAATTTGATAAATAAAACATGGCCCGAAATGATTTTTAACAGTTTAACAGATTATAACTTTAGATCTAGTCGTCTGATTTACATTATTTCTTTAATATAAAAAAAAATTAGGAAAAAAGTGGACACTTCTGTTAAACATAAGGTACTATGTAATCCTAGCTTATTCTAAAGCCCTTTTAGGAAATTTTCATAGGCATTCCAACACTTCCATAATATTTCAGCGGTAAATTAATTACTGTAATTGGAAAATAATCTTAAGATTAATAAAATTTTATTAAACAGTTATCAATTTTACAAATAAAATTTTTTAATTAATTAGGAAAATCAAAAAAGTTTAACCAATGGTGCTTTAGAAAAATATATCCTAGTTCCTGGACTCGAATATTTTTAAATTTAAACGGGCTGTATTATTTACTTCAAAATTTCATTTAAATAATCTTTGAATACAAAGCAAATAAAAGTATTCGAAACCGGTTTTTAAAAAGTGAAAAAACCGGGTTATTCGATATTCGAAAAATCAACATTTAGAAAAAACCGACACTGGTAAAGCAGAAAAAACCGGGTTTAAAACCGGTTGAAAAATCGAGTCGATCACCCTAGTATGGACCCAATGGCGAGGTTTACAAACGGCCCAGAGTAATGCAATCCGAATCGGCCGGATGCGTCAAGATGACGAATGTAGATCAATTGTCCCGCTAGTTTTACAACTGAGGTGGCGCTGTTTCTCTAGCTTCCCCTTCCACCCACAGACACTAACTCAAATACTTAAGTAATTTTAATTTCAGCAAAGAACTATAGATCTCAGTCGCACTGTTGAAATAATCTTTTGTATCGACACTTATTAATCCTACAACAACACTCTATTGCCAATTCATATTTACAAAAGCATTTTGTATAAAAGAATTTTACTTTTATTAATTTCATGTTAAAACTTTAAACCAAAAAAAATTGTTCTCAGAATTAGTTTAAAGTAAATATAAAGATAATGTTTATATGTGTTAAGTATTTTAAACCTTTAAAGTCTATTTTTTTTTAATAAATAATTCGTTAATTAACAATTGGCAGATTTAAAAGAAAAATACATTAAGACAATTAATAAATAAAATATTAGCGGTAAAGGTATAATGTTGTTAAACTTGTGAGCTTTTATCCTTACAGCATTTATTTTCCACACTAAAATTAGGTAATTTTCTTATTACAACAGCAAATATAATCAGATTTAGACAAAAAATCTGTTTACAAAGAATGAAAGAAAAAACTATTAGCGCATAAACATCATAATCATGGTGCGCAAAGTTCTTATACATTTTTATCTCAATCCATTATCAAACATTATTTGACATTTATAAATATAATAATAATTTTACACTTATTATTGAACATAATTGTTAGGCAAAATCCACGTAATAATTGATTAATTTCTTTTCATTTTCTTTAATATAGAAATCCAAAAAAAGCATTATTATGTTGTTGTTGTTTCTAATTTAAAAATCATTAAACAAATTTGTTTCATCATAAGTCTGTAAATTGTGCAGCCTTGTTTCATTTTATGGATGTTGGTTTGGTTTCCTGTTTCTAATCGATGTTCAAAGAAGACATACGTTTCTCAACCCTGTTTAAAGTGTTTGAAGGAAAAAAAAACGGAAAATATGATAGATTAGTATCAGTTTGTTTGTGTATAGTTTAAACAAGGAAGAAAGTTTACACGTTAACGCACGTAATTTCAATGTCTTGAAACAGTTCCCCAATCCAAGCCACCACAAGACAATAATGTTGAAATAATTGCAATAGCAGTTCACCCTCATCCAGCATTTCAATACGTTCGATACGCTGACGTTCTGCCGGTGGTATACTTTGATATACTTGTACCATATCCCAGGCTCGACTGCCACTCCAGCCACATTCCAAAAATCTACCCATTTGTGTATCCAACGAAAGGCAAGCGTCAACACCGGCCAAACTGCAGCCACGACTGCGTAAATTGTTTAACATCACCTCCCCAAAACGATCATTCATATTGACCTAAATAAGAGACCAAAAATTAATCATCTGAGAAATTTTATAATTTCCACACTCTTTCTCACCTGTTCATAATTGACAAATACAGCACTGGTAAACTTACTGGCAATCCATTTGAGTAGATTTTTACAATTCTGTAACTCTATATAAACTAAAACACATTCGGCCAAAAATATTGTTGGTAGCGTGTAGTCAATTTCTGCCTGTTGCAATTTATTATCTACTTCATCTATATTTCTTAAATCTACACCCATCAAATGATAGTTGGGTCCATGCAGATCGGTTGGACTTAATTTCACCTCACCGTCTTCATCGTGTATTTTGGCCAATAGCACTTTATTTCTTTTAATTGTATAACATTTACGCGCCGTCACTGTTGGAAAATCTAATTCAATAAAGTTTTTCACTTGATGTGGCGTATCGCGCAGACGAAAGTATAGTGTATCGAAGCCACAGCCAAGATTAATGATTTGACAATTGCCATTGGTTTTCTAAAATGAGATATATTTTAAAGAAAGTTGTTTTAATATGAGTTCTTGTTTTAAGATAATTTTCTATGATAAAATACTTCTTTAAAATATTAAAAAAATAAAAAATGCTAAGTAAGATTTCCTGATTTTTCCCAAAAAGAGGTGAAAGAGCGTTCTAGTTTTGTTCTAGTTCAGTTCTAGTTCAGTTCTAGTTCAGTTTTAGTTCAGTTTTAGTTCAGTTCTAGTTCAATTCTAGTTCAGTTCTAGTTCAGTTCTAGTTCAGTTCTAGTTTAGTTCTAGTTCAGTTCAAGTTCAGTTCTAGTTCAGTTCTAGTTCAGTTCTAGTTCAGTTCAAGTTCAGTTCTAGTTCAGTTCTAGTTCAGTTCTAGTTCAGTTCTAGTTCAGTTCTAGTTCAGTTCTAGTTCAGTTCTAGTTCTAGTTCAGTTCTAGTTCAGTTCTAGTTCAGTTCTAGTTCAGTCTAGTTCAGTTCTAGTTCAGTTCTAGTTCAGTTCTAGTTCAGTTCTAGTTCAGTTCTAGTTCAGTTCTAGTTCAGTTCTAGTTCTAGTTCAGTTCTAGTTCAGTTCTAGTTCAGTTCTAGTTCAGTTCTAGTTCAGTTCTAGTTCAGTTCTAGTTCAGTTCTAGTTCAGTTCTAGTTCAGTTCTAGTTCAGTTCTAGTTCAGTTCTAGTTCAGTTCTAGTTCAGTTCTAGTTCAGTTCTAGTTCAGTTCTAGTTCAGTTCTAGTTCAGTTCTAGTTCAGTTCTAGTCAGTTCTAGTTCAGTTCTAGTTCAGTTCTAGTTCAGTTCTAGTTCAGTTCTAGTTCAGTTCTAGTTCAGTTCTAGTTCAGTTCTAGTTCAGTTCTAGTTCAGTTCTAGTTCAGTTCTAGTTCAGTTCTAGTTCAGTTCTAGTTCAGTTCTAGTTCAGTTCTAGTTCAGTTCTAGTTCAGTTCTAGTTCAGTTCTAGTTCAGTTCTAGTTCAGTTCTAGTTCTAGTTCAGTTCTAGTTCAGTTCTAGTTCAGTTCTAGTTCAGTTCTAGTCAGTTCTAGTTCAGTTCTAGTTCAGTTCTAGTTCAGTCTAGTTCAGTTCTAGTTCAGTTCTAGTTCAGTTCTAGTTCAGTTCTAGTTCAGTTCTAGTTCAGTTCTTAGTTCAGTTCTAGTTCAGTTCTAGTTCAGTTCTAGTTCAGTTCTAGTCAGTCTAGTTCAGTTCTAGTTCAGTTCTAGTTCAGTTCTAGGTTCAGTTCTAGTTCAGTTCTAGTTCAGTTCTAGTTCAGTTCTAGTTCAGTTCTAGTTCAGTTCTAGTTCAGTTCTAGTTCAGTTCTAGTTCAGTTCTAGTTCAGTTCTAGTTCAGTTCTAGTTTCAGTTCTAGTTCAGTTCTAGTTCAGTTCTAGTTCAGTTCTAGTTCAGTTCTAGTTCGTTCTAGTCAGTTCTAGTTCAGTTCTAGTTCAGTTCTAGTTCAGTTCTAGTTCTAGTTCTAGTTCTAGTTCTAGTTCTGTTCTAGTTCTGTTCTAGTTCAGTTCTAGTTCTGTTCTAGTTCAGTTCTAGTTCAGTTCTAGTTCAGTTCTAGTTCAGTTCTAGTTCAGTTCTAGTTCAGTTCTAGTTCAGTTCTAGTTCAGTTCTAGTTCAGTTCTAGTTCAGTTCTAGTTCAGTTCTAGTTCAGTTCTAGTTCAGTTCTAGTTCAGTTCTAGTTCAGTTCTAGTTCAGTTCTAGTTCAGTTCTAGTTCAGTTCTAGTTCAGTTCTAGTTCAGTTCTAGTTCAGTTCTAGTTCAGTTCTAGTTCAGTTCTAGTTCAGTTCTAGTTCAGTTCTAGTTCAGTTCTAGTTCAGTTCTAGTTCAGTTCTAGTTCAGTTCTAGTTCAGTTCTAGTTCAGTTCTAGTTCAGTTCAGTTCTAGTTCAGTTCTAGTTCAGTTCTAGTTCAGTTCTAGTTCAGTTCTAGTTCAGTTCTAGTTCAGTTCTAGTTCAGTTCTAGTTCAGTTCTAGTTCAGTTCTAGTTCAGTTCTAGTTCTAGTTCAGTTCTAGTTCAGTTCTAGTTCAGTTCTAGTTCAGTTCTAGTTCAGTTCTAGTTCAGTTCTAGTTCAGTTCTAGTTCAGTTCTAGTTCAGTGCTAGTTCAGTTCTAGTTCAGTTCTAGTTCAGTTCTAGTTCAGTTCTAGTTCAGTTCTAGTTCAGTTTCTAGTTCAGTTCTAGTTCTTCTAGTTCAGTTCTAGTTCAGTTCTAGTTCAGTTCTAGTTCAGTTCTAGTTCAGTTCTAGTTCAGTTCTAGTTCAGTTCTAGTTCAGTTCAAGTCAGTTTCTAGTTCAGTTCTAGTTCAGTTCTAGTTCAGTTCTAGTTCAGTTCTAGTTCAGTTCTAGTTCAGTTCTAGTTCAGTTCTAGTTCAGTTCTAGTTCAGTTCTAGTTCAGTTCTAGTTCAGTTCTAGTTCAGTTCTAGTTCAGTTCTAGTTCAGTTCTAGTTCAGTTCTAGTTCAGTTCTAGTTCAGTTCTAGTTCAGTTCTAGTCAGTTCTAGTTCAGTCTAGTTCAGTTCTAGTTCAGTTCTAGTTCAGTTCTAGTTCAGTTCTAGTTCAGTTCTAGTTCAGTTCTAGGTTCAGTTCTAGTTCAGTTCTAGTTCAGTTCTAGTTCAGTTCTAGTTCGTTCTAGTTCAGTTCTAGTTCAGTTCTATAGTTCTGTTCAGTTCTAGTTCAGTTCTAGTTCAGTTCTAGTTCAGTTCTAGTTCAGTTCTAGTTCAGTTCTAGTTTCAGTTCTAGTTCATTCTAGTTCAGTCTAGTCAGTTCAGTTCAGTTCTAGTCAGTTCTAGTTCAGTTCTAGTTCAGTTCTAGTTCAGTTTCTAGTTCAGTTCTAGTTCAGTTCTAGTTCAGTTTCTAGTTCAGTTCTAGTTCAGTTCTAGTTCAAGTTCTTAGTTCAGTTCTAGTTCAGTTCTTAGTTCAGTTCTAGTTCAGTTCAAGTTCAGTTCTAGTTCAGTTCTAGTTCAGTTCTAGTTCAGTTCAAGTTCAGTTCAAGTTCAGTTCTAGTTCAGTTCTAGTTCAGTTCTAGTTCAGTTCTAGTTCAGTTCTAGTTCAGTTCTAGTTCAGTTCTAGTTCAGTTCAAGTTTCAGTTCTAGTTCAGTTCTAGTTCAGTTCTAGTTCAGTTCTAGTTCAGTTCTAGTTCAGTTCTAGTTCAGTTCTAGTTCAGTTCTAGTTCAGTTCTAGTTCAGTTCTAGTTCAGTTCTAGTTCAGTTCTAGTTCAGTTCTAGTTCAGTTCTAGTTCAGTTCTATTTCAGTTTTAGTTCAGTTCTAGTTCAGTTTCTATTTCAGTTCTAGTTCAGTTCTAGTTCCGTTTTAGTTCAGTTCTAGTTCAGTTCTATTCCAGTTCTAGTTCAGTTCTGGTTCAGTTCTAGTTCTGTTCTAGTTCTGTTCTAGTTCTGTTCTAGTTCTGTTCTAGTTCTGT